TATATATATTTTTTTTTGGAACCCTCCAGTGCCATTATTAGCCCCCTTTTTTGTTCATTTCCACGGAAAAGGTTAACACACTGATGCATTAAGTGGATTGTCTCTCTTGTGCACTCCATGCTTTGTTCCTGCCTTTTCAGCATCAGATAGCATCCTCTCGCCATTGCTCCTGTTTGCAAGAGACACAAAGTTCCAAATTGGATAGTCGTTGATGCCGCCTACATTGACCTGGTCACCACCTGTGAATACAGTAACTTCCCTCCTTTTTTTTTTTCAATTCAAAACGTCTTTATTGAAATGTATAGCCACATACAAAAGTATTCACAGGACACAGTCTCGATGGAACAGTTGCACAGCAAAAGTCAAAAATATGTACACAATACATCTAGATCCACGTAAATATTACGCTATGGCATATAGGGAGAAAAAGGAACATAGCGAGACCTATGGCAGTGCAACGGACCGTTGCTGTGTAATATAGATAAAGCATGTACTGCATCGGCATGTCAAGAAAGCATCTGCATCTCCATCCCTGCTTACTTTTTGTCAATAAATTTCAATGTAAAGCAAATTGTACAGTCCTGCATCACGCAGGCCACACTTGATCATGTCTTGTCTCAGATTGGTGGTGTACAACCTATAAGTCGTGTGTGGCGTATGGCCTCGAAGATGCGGAAAGTAGGTAGGTAAGTGCGAAGGTTACTATAGGGAGATCGAGAGCAGGAAGAGGAGGGCAGAGATGGCCCTGTGAGCCGGATTAACTTCCCTTCTTAATAACGCACTGACCATATCCATTTAGGATGTTCCAGTGTTGGAAAATCCCCAAATCCTTGTTTTTGCTAGCAGGTCCTGCCTTGCAACCGGCCATGGCCACAATGTTAGTCTGTCAGACAAGCATTTGTTGTGCATGCTTTTTGATGGTGAACATCTCTTCAGAGTTGCTTTGGATACCCTCACTGGGGGGTAAGAGTACTGATTTGCCCTAGCAGAAGATGTCTAATCTAGAGTTCTCCTGTTGTCCAACCTGATCTGACTCCACACAGTCTAACAGACCTCCACGCTGCTCTTGCAGATCTTTTAATACAAAGAGTTTTTGCCATTGTTCCAATGGTGGAAAAGTTTCCCGGCTTTTACTCCAACCTTTTCACTGTTCCCAATCCCAAAGCAAGCATTCCCCTATCTTGTGTGTATATATAGGGTTTAAAGGTCTTCATTCACTTAAAAAAATAAAAATAAATTGCAGGTAATCCACCAGGTGTGCTTAGCCTCCCTCCAACATGGAGACCCTATAGGCTCTGTG